GTCTCTGCTGGAGCCGGCGTGGCCTTGCAGGGTCCTGCTGCTGCGGGGGGAGAGCTGGCCTCGCCCCTGGGACACCGCTCACATCGGCTGCCTCGCTACAGTGTTTCTGCTCTCATTCTTCCCGGGACTGTCCCACACCTTCCTCGCTCTGAGAAACCGCACAGAGGCAGCGACTTCCAGGAATTGTGGGCTCTGTGCCTCGGGGACACGATCCCAACTCCAACTGATGCACGGCCCCTGGGGCTGGTACCTGTGCCCATGGTAGGGATCCTGTCCCGGGGGAAAAACCCATTTCTGCAGAGGGAATCCTGACTCCTGTCCCCCAGGCTACAAAACACACTCTCCTGTTCCAAATCAATACTTTGACATGCTCTTCTGTCCTCAGAAGCAGCACCAAAGCGCTTCCCATAGTTAACTGGCTCTCAGTCTGGAATGAAGTTCTCCCATGAGGAAAACCAATGGTTATGCCAGACTGGCTCCAGGAGTGGTGCTCATCTGTTCAATGGATAAACACTTGTGCAATAGGGAATCTGTAAACAGCAGGAAGAATGTAAAAGCTGCATAAGCAGAAGAGCTGCCATGAGCAGATCCTGTGCAGCTTCCAGCCCTGAAGCCTCGGGAAAACACACAAAATACCTGTGTGACTGCAACCCACCAACACTCTGAAAGCTTTTTGTGGATTGTTTCTTTGGCAAAATTTTCTGATTTGCAGCTGCTGCTTCCAATTCCAAGTGCCACATAAAGCCTGTCCTTCCACTGCAACCAGCACTTGAGAGGAACCAGGGTGGAATACTCACTGCCGATACCAAGCACAAGACTGTGGAAGCAGCTTCCAGAGGGTGTAAGAGCTCAAAAGCTCAAGACATTTGGAAAATAGGATGGGAAAGCTTAGAGGAGGATGGGGCAAAGTCTGCCTTTGAGCAGTGAAGAGGCAAAGAGATGCTGGGCACCCTCAGAGCAGCTGGGCAGGGACACCCTACATATCTGCCCTCCACAGCCCAGCCCCTGACAGGTGATCCATCTCCTCTTCCCAGCAGTGAGGGAGAGCTGGAGCCCAGGAGAGCAGGGGAGAGAGGGACAGACAGACAGAGGAGGGAGGGGAAAATGAGGAGACCATTTTATGAGATTTGATATTTGCTCAGGAGTGAGAAAAAGGAGACACCAGTGCCATGCTCCAGGTCAGTGCCCAGTCCTTGGCTGCTCCCCCAGTCCTGAGGGGTTCTCCATGCTGAGCACAGCTCCAACATCCCTGCAGCTCCAGTTACCCAGCCCCAGAGTATCACCTATTTCACAACCCCAGCTCCAGCCATGACAGACATGCACCCTGCACAGCCTGCTATCATTCACCAAGCCCTGAGTTCTCTATTCCAGCTCCAGCTGGATTATCATAGCTGTCCTGTGAGCAAGGAAAGGGTGAGAGGTGCTGAGGAAGAAATTTGTTTATCTTCTCTCTTCCCCATTTATCAGGAACTGACAGCAAGCTTTAGCACACCCCCAACTCCCCTGGCCACCAGAGGCTCCCTGTCCATAGGGGCCGAAAGGACTGGCTGCCCACGTGATGTTCTGCCATGCTCCTCTTGTCTTCAAAGACATATTTGCATCCTATGGCCAATTGCCAGAGCAGAAAGGTCACACTGACAGCAGCAGACAGGAGGGTCAGCCCTTCCCAAGGGCTTTGGAGTTCTGCCAGTGCAGTGCTGGGGGTCCCCAGAGCCCTCCTGGGGCTGGGATGCCAGAGCAGCTGCTGCCGGGCACAGCCTGGGAGTGAGAGCAACCCTGAGAACGACCTCCTGCCTCATTCCATCTCTCAGTGTAACAGCTGCCCTTCACTCCTTCATCTCTTTGCCAGTCTTATCTCCTCCCTCCATAGGAAGGAATTACTGCAGGTTTTATCTGTAAGCCTATCACAATTACAGAGCAGAAACAATTACAGAGCCATCGAGCCAGGTGATGAATGAACACGTGGCACTGGCCCAAACTGACCACAGCCAGACTAGGGAAGGGAACCAAAGGCAGATGTAAGCAGCAAACACCAGGATTCCAACCAGTATCAGCACCAGGTAAGAGCAGTGATAGCAAATGCCACTTAAAAACGTCTGAAGCTACGTGGACAGCAGATCTTCCTGAGCCAAAAGCCCCTTAAATCCTTTTCTCCCCTTTGATTCCATTGCTTCAGTAACAGCTCCTTCTCTGATTCCATTTCGTTTTAAACTGGAGGCCACCCCCTCCAATCCGCCACTGTAATTTGTCTTCTGATGGCAGAGCCTTGGATTTACTCTGACAATGCTCCATTTTGCTCCTGAAACAGGTTATTTTGTCACCTCAAATACTGCTGGTAGTAATGATGCAACAACCAGAGCAAAAAGATAAACAGCTCCAAGTCCAGAGTAACAAAACATCCAATTAATTTGCTAATTACATGCAAGCCTGACTGGCGCAGTCGGGGACACTCTACCAAAAGCTTTAAATTAAACCCAATTGTGTTAGTAACCACATTGTGGTTCTTAATTGTGTTTCTGAGATGTGCCAGCACCTCCTAACCCTGTCACTTCCTCAAATATTAAAAACTGCTCATGCTTTAGTGTTGTATGAAGGGTGTTTAACTCAAAAAATACCTACCCATACCTGATCCCAACTGCAGCAGGGTAGAACTGGGGCTTGGGAGAACTCCATCTGTGAGGGAAGAGCCATGATCCTGCTGGCAGACAGCAGGACCATCCAGAGAGGAAAGAAAGTAGGAGCAGCACACCTTGAAATGCTCCTTATTCTCCAAAGCAGGAGGGCCTGTGTGTGCCTCTGCTCCCAGCAGCACCCTGAGGGACAGGGCTCTGAGGTGCCCATTGCTCCTCTACAGCCCCAGAAGTGCCCTCACTGTCCCCACAGAATGCTGAGGCTGCATCCTCTGAGGGTACAAGGGGAAAACTTTATGTGCAAGGTCAAGTAGGGCAGGAGATCAGACCTTGCACCAGACAGCAGAGGGTGCAGGTCCAAATGCCAGTCATCCTTCCATCAGGGAATTTTACTACAGAGCCTCTCAGCTCCCACAAACCTTTCTTCCCCCCGGCCCTGCTGTCTGGGATGCTGGTACACAATCCCCCCGCTCCAGAGCAGCAGAGGCTGATCCTGTGCTAGCACCCACAGAGCCAGGAGAAAATGCAAAGCTGCAGGAATGGGCCAGCAGCACGCTGTAAAGCTAATGGAGACTTTGCTAGGATAAAATGTAAACCTGGCAGCGATTAACACACATGGCTTGAGCCAGACCACGCCGAGCGTTCCGCTTTCCTCACGGCGTTTGGAAATTGCATCTGAGCACAGAGAGACAATGTCCCTCCATTACACCTTTGCAGCAGCAGGGCAGTGCTGTGCAAGCCTTGGAGTTCAAAGGACAAGACACTGGTGCTGTAAAGGTTGCTGTGCCAGCTCCAACCCTGCTGATCCCACAGAAGTCTGCTAAGGCACAGCACACCCAACACAGCTGCAAGGAAAAGGAGTACAAGGCACTTCCCACAGGAATGAGGGAGATGTTGCTTATCTCTAAGGCAAGACCCGGGCAAAATGTACCTGCTGCTGCCTAGTCCAGCCTCCAAGACTGCCTGCAGACCTGCATGGGAGCCACACCTGCTCTCCTCAGTGTGACATTCCCTGTCTGTGCAGGACCCCCCTGCTCCGCAGGCAGAGCGGCCGCACGGAGCAAACCTGCACCGCCATCAGCAGCACCCCAATGCTGAACTTTCCCAACTTGATTCCTCCCTGCCTCCTCTGCACTGATTCCAGCAGAGATTTATGCAGACTCCAGAGACACACCCAGAGCTTGCATAGCTCCTGCCACGTACGAAGCTCACAGCTGGATGATGCTCACAGCTGCACTCTTCCTGACCTGTCATTACTTTTATTCTTTTTTCTTTTGCCAAGCCCTTGACATCTCTGTACAATCCCCCAGAAAATCAGCGTGTGGATGGAAATTGCCCCGGTACCCAAATGAAGCTCTGGGTATTTAAAACAGAAACAAGCCCAGAGGCAGTGGACTCGCCTGGTGCTAATTTAGAGGTAAAATCTAATTGTTCATTTCAGCCTTTGCTCCCAGCATCCCAAGCATCACAGGGTGAGTGTGTGGATGCAGGACTCCCACAATGCAAACCCCAGCTGAGGCCCCACATACTCCTGGATGGGGCTGCCTCCGAGCCAGCAGAAAATCCCTTGGGCAGCCCTTTCTCCCTCCCATTTCCATCATTTTGGCCATATTCTGTTGTGCTGACACGTGAGAATGCAGGTGCCCACTGCTTTAAATGCTGTACAGGTATTTTACAGAGATGGCTCATGTACTTTTTTTTCAAGTTAATCCACCAAGAAAAATTATTCTTGATTGAATCCTACTTCTCAAAAAAAAAAAAAAAAAATCTCCTCTCCCCTGGTTTGTTCCCTGTTCTAGCTCTCCTTTAAAACACATTTTCTACCTGTACTTAAAACAGCCCCGAAGCACAGGTGATGTTTCTCTGCCACTACGTTCGGGGTTTCCTGCTCTGCACAGTGCATTCCCGGCAGGCAGCTCTCGGCGGGACAAGTTGCTGGGAGGATTTTAACTCGATGTCAACATCCGTCCGTGCTTCGGGGCTCAGCGTCCCGATCTCGCCCGCTCCCAGCGGCAGGAGCAGCGGGATAACAGATGCGTGAGGAAACGAGATAAACACAACGGCCTCACAGGACGGCGGGGACACCAGGCGTGCACCGCGGCGTTCCTGGCGCGATCTCGCCTAGTCAGTCCCAAAGGAGAGCATCGTGGCAAAAGGGAAGATTCGGCAGCGGAGACCAAAGCGGGAACAGCCAGGACATAGCGGGTGGGACCCGCGGTGAGCGCGGCGGGGAGGCTGGGGCGGCGCGGGGTGCAGAAGGTGGCAGAGGGATGCGGGCACGGGATGCCGGTACTGGCGGGATGCAGGATGCCGGCGGGAAGCACGGTGCAGGGTGCGCTTGCCGGTGGGCTGCGGGACGCGGGTACTCACCGGAGATCGCCGTAAGCGCCGGCGTAGCCCTCGACCCAGGGCTCCAGCTCGCTCTTGATGCCGGGGGCGGGGGCGGCGAAAGGCGCCCGGCCCGGTGGGTACCAGGCATCGGCAGGGCAGTCGGCGGGCCCGGCGGGCGGCTCGGGGCACGGCCCGTAGAGCTGTCCCTCCTCGGCGAAGAAGGTGGGCCAGGGGGGCGCGGGGCCCGGCGGGACCAGCTCGGCCCCGAAGCGACACGGGCCGCCCCAGCCGCCTCCCGGAGCCGGCCCCGCCGCGCTCTCCAGCTTGACGCGGCCGAAGCCGCGGGGCAGCCCCGGCCCGGCGGGCGGCTCTGCGGCCAGGGCGGCCTCGAAGACGGGAGAGGGGTCGCGGGCAGGCGGGCGCGGGGCGCGGGGCGGCCCGGCGGGCACGGCGAACATGCAGTCCTCGCGGGGCAGCTGCTCGGCCGGAGTCTCCAGCGCCTCCAGCGCCAGCCCCATGGAGGCGGACACGGCGCGGCACAGCTGCCGGGCGCTGTCGCCCAGCGGATCTTCCTTGTCCGCCGGCTCGGTCTCGGGCGGCGGCAGCATCGGAATCGCACCCGCCTCGCCCAGCAGCTCCCTCAGCTCTCCGGCGCAGGGGAAGGACGAGCCCATGGCGGGGCCGGCGGGCGGCAGCGCCTTACCGGGGGCGCGGGGCTCGGGGGGCGGCAGGCAGCTCGGCGGGGGCGGCAGGCAGGCGGGGGAGTCCGGCGGCGCTCGGGGACTCGGCGGGCAGGGCGCGCTTGGCGGCGGCTGCCCGGCGCCGCCCGGTTCCTCTCGCGGCGGCTGGAAAGCGTCGCAGACGCTCTGGAAGAAGCTCTGAAAAGCCCCGCGGAAGGTCCTGCCCGCCGGTCGCGGGTAGACGCGACCGACCCCCAGCTGCACCTCCATGCTCGCCGAGCGCGGGGCAGCGATCGCTGCGGCGGCGGAGCGAGGCGAGGGCGGAGAGCCTTGGCAGCGCTCCCGGCCCGACCCCCGCGGGCCGCCTACCCGTGGCGCTGCTCCGCGGCGCCCATGGCAGTGCCCGCCGGGCTCGGAGCTCGGTGCGCGCAACAGGCAGGGAAAGTTGTCGGCGGGGGCGCGGGCAGGTGCGGCGGCGGAGCGAGGGGCGGGCGGGGACGGCCGCGGGGAGGGAGGCGCGGCGGGGAGACCGCCCCGCTCCGGGCTCCGCCGCGATTAACTCTGTGACCGCCGCGGCGGCAGCGGCGCCCGGCCGGCCCCGGGCTCGGCGCGGCCCCAGCGGCGGCCCCGGAGCAGCGCGGACGCCGAGCCGCAGCCCCGCCGCAGTGTCCGGGCTTGGCGCCTCGGCGGGCGGCTCGGAGCTGGATGAGCGTGCCCGGCCCGGCCCGGCTCGCTGGGGACATCGCCCGGCACCGCGGCCCCCGGCTGAGCGCCCGCCCGGCCCCCGCGCCCCGGCTGGGCGGGACGGGGCGGGGATGGGGGCGGCGGCCGCCCGGGCTCCCGGCTGAGCTGCCGATGGAGCGGGTGCGTGCGAGCCACCCGCCCCAGGCCGGCTCGGCTGCTCCCCCGCTCTCCCCCCGGCTGACAGCTGGCGCAGCTGGGCGGACTTGGTCAGAAAAATGCTCCTTTTGGCGCTCAGCAGCTCCCCACCCTCGGCTGGGCCCGAGGCGATCCCCGCACCTCTTGGTTCGGTTCCTGCGTGAGGACCGGCCGCCCGCTTCCACCTCCCAGTGCCCCGCGTCGTGCCACAGCCCCCGCCTGGCAAAGCACGAACCGTCCCGGGGGCATCCCCGCCCGGGTCACGCACTGGGATGAAAAACACCTCGCTAGCAGAGAGAATTAGTGCGGGACCTACCGTAAACAAGGCTTGAGCTCCCCTTGCTGGTCCTGGAATAGCAATCCTAAAGCAACTTCTGGGAGGCACCATCCCCAAGAAACCTGGGAATGGAGTCATTTCCATTCGAGGGAGCTTAAAACAAGCCCGTTACTTTGAGCCCCTTTGAAGACAAAGGGAAAAAAGTCATAAATAAGCGGAGCCTGTGGGGAAAACAGAGAGACATATCCCATCTTTTAAAAGCCTTTTTACAAGCTGCGGAAGATAAAAATAAAAATCGAAGTCCAGCCAAGCAAAATTTGGCAATGTCCTCCATCCTGCCTGCGGGATCGGAGCAGCCGGGGGAGGAGGAGGAGGGATGTGCGCCGTGGGGACGGGGTCACTGCCGGTGCCTGCTGCAGCCCAGCACGGCTGCGGGCAGGGGCTGCCACTCCCCGGGCCGTGGGGAGCCCAGGACTGTGCCCTGCTCTCCCTGGCCCCCAGTGAGGAAGAGCATTTGCAGAGAAACCTCATCAGCTCTGGCATATGGGTGAAACACCAGGCTGGGCTCTGCTGCTAAGTCCCACAGCCCCTAAAGCACTGAGGGCAGCTCAGCTAACGCCTGAGATGGTAAAAACCAAGGGAGATGCTGTAAGATATCTGCTGCCCGGTGGATGTGGATTCCAGTGTTTTTGTTGTTCCACCCTCTCAGAGTTGACGGGCTCCTGGAGTGAAACATACAGACTGTGGAAAACACCTACGGGACGATTCTCACTGTCAGCCTCAAGAACTGTATTGAGAAGGGCTGAGGGCTGGGGCTGCAGCATGGGATCACTGCAGGAACGAGGGCCTCTATGCCTCAAATGAGACATGGAGAGAGCTTTGCTTGACCCCACTGTTCCCACGAGGAGGAAACATCCTCAGCTTGTACACCCTGAAACACCACAACCTGCAAAGACCTCAGCACCACAGTTCAGACTTTTGATGTTCAAACAACCATCCTGTCTGGGATGGGACCTGTTGGGGCCTCAGCTCCTGGCCTGGAGCTTTGGCTGTGGTGCTGTTTGTGTTGCCTTGCCTTTTCCCCTCTCTGCAGCATCCAGGGCCCTGGATTTTCCCCTGCCTGAATGTTGCTGTGGGGTTTTTGGAATGTTGATCACTGCAGAGGTGCAGAAAGCAAGACTGCAAAATGGTTTGTGTACTTCAGCCTGCAGAGCCAACACTTCAGTTCTGACTGATGATCTGTGGTAAAGATGTTTTTAATTTATTTCTTGAACAGGCATGTTCCAAGATTTTTTTTTTAACTTGGTCCTCACGTTTCATTTAAAATTGATGAAATGTTAGTGGATTTTCTGGCTGTATATGTGCACGACTGCATATGCTAGGCTTAAAGGCTCTGTGAATTTTAATCTTTGTACTTGGTTGCCAAAGTCATCACACAGTGTTCTAGAGATGTCCTTTTCTCAGCTTGAATTTGATATGGATTTCAATTATACTTTCCCATTCTCCCAGCAACACATATTCAGGTAATTTATATCTGTAAATATGATTTTGTGTTATTGTGAAATGTGAAAATGTGTTATTAAAGTGTGAATTTAATATCCCATACAGGTTATAAGACTTTCTGCACAGGCTGAGGTTTGAGCTGTGTATGTCACCAACAGTTTGGTCTTTCAGTTCAAAGTCAATTTAAATGCACGAGGAGTTAAAAAAATCAAAGATGGTGGACTCGACTGTGTGTCATAGAACAGGCACTTTGCCTGGCCTCATAGAAAGCAGAGTGAGCTCCAGCTTGGGCAGGGGGAGATGCTGAGGAAACCCAATCCAGCAAAACACTTTGACACATCTTTGTCTTGAAGTGTATAAATAGTCCCAATGAAATCTAGGAAATACTCCTGTGCTTAAGGTTAAGGATTCCCTTAAGTGCTTTGCTGGATCAGTACCAAGGTGATTATTTACAAAGCGCTGTCAAAAACATTGGACACCGAGAAAAAACTTTTTCTGATAAAATCCTTTGGCTCAGAATGTCCTGTGTGACTGCTCAGAACTGCAGCAAACAACGTTTTTCAGAGATAGGGACCATTCCATGAAAAATTTCCCTCTAGACCCAAGAGTAACAGGTGGTCCTTTGTTTTGTTGCCTGAAAAAACATTTAAAACCAGATGATTCTCTAGGAACTCAAATCTACAGCCACAGAGAGCTCAAATGTTATCAGGACAGTTCCACAGAACTTGCCAGGAACAGAATCAATCATTTTTCACCATTAATCTTTAGTAAAATGAGGCCAGTAACACAGAGTCTGACAGTTTTGCTTCCATTCCTTGAAGCCAGTTGCAGGCATAACCCATTAGCCATCACTTACTGAATTACTCTGATTACACTCCTCCTTTTGTACCATCCCAGCTGTGAGCAGATGTCAACAGCTGTGAACCTGTCTCTGAACCTGCCCTGCCAACATCCCCTAAATGGTGAACTCATGGAGTTTTTTTCCAGCTGCATAAAAAAGGAGGAATCGTTTCTGTGGAGCATTGAAAATAATGGCAGAGATTCAGAAAGCATCACAAGCACGAGTGCTGGATCCCACTCCCACCAGGGCAGAGGCAGCTGGATGAGCCAGAGGCACTCTGAGCCTCAGTGGTGCCCGTGCAGGTTGGGATGTGCTTTCATTAATTGCCTCTCAGCATGGGAGCCACAGTGATTTAGGGGAAAGCAGCACAAACAGGTGAGGGAGACTGGTTTGTACTCCCCTGGATGCTGTGGCCAGGGTGGGAGCCCATTAGGGCTGCAGGAGCAGCCAGCCCAGCTTTCCACCACCCACACCTGAGGACAGCAACCAGGCAGGAGCTTGCAGAACACCAGGCTCATTAATGCTGCCTCCCACACCTTTCCTCATTATCCTGTGCACTCTATTATTCTTAAGCTGCTTAGAGCTATACAACAATACAGTTTTCTTAAGATTTTAAATAGTTTAGCCATTTGTGTCAATGCTGGACTGCTGACTGCCTTGTCTCATCAGACAGGTATGTGAGTTCACATGGCTGGGTTAAGAGTCTTTAAAATTTGCCCTTGCATGAAGGTGCAGACAATGTTTTCACTTTCATCTATTTTAATTCTGAACATTAATAATGCCTCACATCTCTCATAGCTTGCACCTTTCTGATTTAGGGCACAGGTTGCTTAACTCTTCCTTGCACCTGTCCTTAGTGGCCAACACTGATGCTGCTTTTACCCAACAAAGCCCAAAGCTCAGGTGCCCCTGGAGCAGGAATCATCTGCCCCTCACTGCTGCCCTCAGTGAGTTTTGATCAAGCATTTGGGGCAGATCAGCGAGAGGATCCTGCTGTGCTGTGCTCGTGTCACCCTGCAAGCCTTCTTTTAGCAGGGGGGGTTGATTGAGCATTGTCACCTCTCAAAACCCAGGAGAAGAAGAGTTTGACAAAGACCTGGCTCCCAGCAGGACTCCCTGGCTGGACCCTGCCCAGGGGTGGCACCAGCCCAGCAGCATCAGAGGGAGGCAGACCTGCACAGTGCCTCTCAAACGCTTTTGTTTGCATCTTGGAACAAATCCTGCTTTAAATACAGGGCTAAGCAATGTCTTAGGTAATGCTTCTGGAACAGTTACAGTCACCTGAAGTGTTTTTCTTCTCTTTGCCCAAATTCATCCCTGTCACCTCCACAGAACCACTAGCATGTTTTCCTTCTCTGACAGCTTGGAGGCTGATTTTCAGAACAGCCTGTTCATGCACCTTAGTGAGATGACTGAAGTGCTTGGTCCAGTTGATCAATCCTTGCAGTGCTGAGAACAAGACAAATCTTCACTCCTAATGAAACACACATTTGAACTGTTTCCCATGTCTTACACAATTGCCTTTTGGGCAGAGTTTGGAGTTTCTCAGGAGCCAGGGAGGTGATACACAAGTTTGTGATGAGTTCCAGTATGAAATCTGGTCCAAGGCAACAACAGTGGCAGATCCATTTTCCCAGCCTGCAGCTGGGAGAAGCCTGGGATAAGCCCACTTCCATTGCTTGGCAGGGATGCCCACCTAGAGTGAGATGCCAGAGGCTGATGAAGGTTCAGTGGCTTCACTGAAGCCTGTGGGCACTTTGGGCTGCCCTC